TACTGACTGTTTGACTGTGACCCCAGAAGCAAGGGGTCTGCTCTTTGCAGTGTCCACTGCACAGCATGGTGCAGACCCTGGCATGGGGGTGGGGCTCTTCTTCAATATCTACTGTGTTAAATGTAGCTAGGCCAGAGTCAGAGGGCAGGTGGAAAGAGGAAGGACTTGAGAGTCAGGTGGGTTCCAAATGCTTATCACTGGGCAGCTCTCTGGGCCTCCAGGTGCTCCTCTATACGTTGGGGCCAACAGTCGTTGGTCCAGAGCCTGGTGCTGTAGATGTTGGATAAGCAGTAGGAATGGGGGCAGGGCCAAGAGCCTGTCTTTGCCATCCTTTCTTCTCCAATGTTCTGAGTTGTTCCATGGATCTTAAGAAGGAAAACTCTGGCCCCACACTGTAGATGGAGAAGAGGCTCCATATGGGATGAATCTCATATTCCATGTATTGTCACCAAGCGGGACTTCATGGAGGGAGCACCTTGCTGTGAGCTGCCAGGCCCTGGTAGAGCTTTTCGGCTTGGCCACCCTATTCTTTGTTCCCAGAAAGCCCCTGACAAAGGCTGCAGAGGGCACGGTATCGAAGGGAAAAGTCAGTTTGCCAAGTCCACTCTTGCTAAACACACCAGGAAGTCCCCACTCTCCAGCTTGACCCAGACCCAGGGGGAGGGAGTATTGACTAGGTCCCTGCAGGCTACACTGCCCCTCTTGGAGTCTACTAGAAGAGATTACCCTTGCTTTACTTTTGGGGGTTGAACCTCACTACAGGTCCTCTGGATACCCTGGATACCTCATCAGAGTGGGCTCAAGTGGCTCAGGAAAGGCCCCTGGGAGCCTTCTGTCTGTGCCCCCAGGAGTGGTCTCACAGGCTGGCCTGTCAGCCATTATACATTTCCTGACATCTGGCATACTTGCTCCTACCTACAGCACAGCATCTACCACCTGTGACCCCGAGGAGGTGACCTACAACCCACTGTGCTTAGGGGATTCCATGTGGGATGGAAAACTCTCCAGCCTGCTTCTGGGGCAGTCTCTGCTCTAAGAGGTTATATATACATTAACCCACTTAACCCTCCTAGGTAGATATCATCCCTAATCGCCATTTCACAAGAGGACTGAGACTCAGAGTGCTGAAAAAGCATCCCAAGCTGAGTAGCTTATATGTAGGCATTCAGCTTCTACCCAGGATGTGAAGCACAGAGATGTCAAGAATCCAGCTGGATCATCAGGACCAGTGGTCCACCTGCAACATTCGGTCGATGCCAGGAAAACAAGTGATATCATAAAAGAAAATACAAGTACTGTCTTCAGAGGGACACAGGGTGATGGCAAGTTGATAAAAAACAAATGCAAGCTGTCAAGAGCAGTTGGAAAACAAAAGGCGTGAAGTAAAAACAAAAACAGGAACAAAAACAAGGTTTCCAAACCTAAGCAAGAGGGCAGGGGGCGGGGGGATCATTACTTTTGGAAGGAGAATCCTGGAAATCACAAGATCAGTGGCAGAATGAACACAGGATAGGAACTCTTAATCACTAGAAGAAAAACAAAGCCAATTAGATCAGATCAAGCAAGGACAGGAGAGTCAGGAATCAAAGAGTGTGATGAGGATGCATTGTCTTTTGTTGAAGCAAAGCAGGCTGTGTAGATGTGAGGGAAGTACAGCGTCTGGAGTCTTCTGCAGGAAGTTTAATAAAACAAAATTTCAAAAAGCAAAAAAGACACAGACGTAGTAGAAATACAAACATCGAGAGGGCAGTGTGATGGCTCAGTTAGCGAAGTGTTTGCTGTATAAGCACGAGGGCCTGAGTTCAGATCCCCAGGACTCACCTAAAAAGCCTAGCACAGCAGCACTGTGGGAGTGCTGGGGAGGCAGGGACAGGAAGGTTCCTGGGGCTTGCTCGCCAGTCAGTCTAGATGAACTGGTGAGCTCCTGGTTTAGTGAGAGACCCTGCCACAGAGAGTAAGGCAGAGGGCAATTGAGGAAGACACTCAGTATTGACAGCTGGCCTCCACGGTGACGTGCACAACTACACACACACACACACACACACACACACACACACACACCAGATAATGAAAATTATATAAACAGTAGTTTCAACAAGTTCTTACATAATTCTGGCTCCAAGAGTTGAGAGTTGAAATGATGAAGCATTTAGAAATGAGCCCAGGTGGACACTCTGTGCAAAAGAGAAACTCCCCAAGTAAAAGATCCAAAGAACTGGAAGCGACAAATTGGTAAAGACAAAGAGATGGGCATAGGCAGTGATGCTGCGTGGGAAGCTGGCCTTCCCAGGGATCAAGGGTAATGTGGAACGCTAACAGTATCTGGAGGGAAATTTGAGGTCATGTGTCAACATCTGCCTTCAAAGAACATATCTTAAGGAAATAATTGGATATGTGTTCAAAGATACATATACAAAGATGTTCATTGGAGTGAAAATCCCATACTATTTGCTTTATCCACAGGGGCGTGGTTCCATCAATCACGGCTCAGCACACAATGGCTTTCTCTATAGCCCACAGCCTGGAGGAGGCAGATCCTAGATATTGATGGAAGAGAACACCTGGTTAAGTAAATCAAAAAGGAAGTTGCTTACCAGGCAATGAGATGGTCTTGTTTAAGAAACTGCTTACTGGATTTGCTCTGTATATATTGGTACCCAACATGCTTAAGAGAGTAAGAGGGGGCAAAGACATCAAAGGTTGTCTTCCTTGGGGTGTGCAGAGGAATAAGACTACTGGGTGAGACCTGGGGGCTTTGGGTCTATACTTGGTGACCTTTGTTACTGTGGCATTTGAATTTTTTAAATGACTTTATTTATTGGTGTTTGTGCATGAGTACCATGGCACGCCTGTAGGGGTCAGAGGACAACCTGTGGCTCTCTTCTACCATGCAGGCTCCAGAGATTGAAATCAGGTTGTCAGACATGGCAGAAGGTACCTTTTACCTGCTGAGCCCTCTAGCCGACACCCTAATTTTTAAAATAGAGAACGTCTATGAAAATATTCATAGTAGAAAGAAATAGCTAAATAAGGACTCAACACCAAGGCGGGGCGTCCCTTCATGTCTGTGTAATTATTGGTTTCTTTGATTTTGCTGCTGGTTATTCAAGGGGAGAGTGGAGGGGCGAGATGGTAAAGGAGAGAGGCAGGAGCAGAGGGAGGAAGGAGGGAGGGAGAAGTGACCAGGAGGGAGAAGAGGAGGAAGAGAAGGAAATGCAGGGAGAGGGAGAGGAAGGAAGTGAGGTGAGAGGAAGGTGGGAAAGGCTAGTTGGAGCTGCAGCGCTCCTATTCTCATTAGTGCCATGTGCACATGCGCACTGCAAATGCAACCTTCCCATCCCAGACATGTGCGCATGTGCGGCACCTGGCTGTAAGCTTACACACAGGAGCTCACCAGCAGCTTAGCTTTCTCAAACTGTCACTGCGATAAGCAGCCAAGGCCATGGTGGCTCCGAAAGATGGGAGGAGATGCTCAGCTTTCACTCTGACGTGGGGGGACCTCAGCAGAAGGCAGTTGGTTCAGGTGTGTGAAAAGGTCACTCCAGCAGCAGTATCCCCTTACAAAAGTCCAAAGTTCCCATGCACGCCACTGACCTCACTGTGCACAGGGTGTGGCTCAAAAACTTGGACAGGGTAAACGATACATTAATTCTAACTGAATGGTGTGCACTGGGAGCATGTTTATGTCTCTTTCAATGACACATCCACTCCACCACTTCTCTCCTGAAAACTCAAGAGTTGGAAACTTCTTTCCTCGGCTTCCTCATTATCCCAACTCCTTGATGGTTTCTTCCCACGAGCTCTCTGTACTACCGACCCATAATCTTGGTGGACCATTGCTGCTCAAGAACTTTCCATGGCTCCCTTACCAAGTGGCATTTAAGGTTCCCCTTAACCAGGCCTCTCTGATCCCTTCTACTCCTTATCCACATGCATGACCTACTCCAGCCAGACCGCTTCTGTCCCAACCTCCTTTCACACCTCTGAGCACACTGCCACCCCAACCTGCTTTTTGCCTCCTACTCCTTCCTTCCCACAATCAAAGCCCAGCCTGGCCTGCGGTGTGATAGATTATGAAGATCAGGAAAGATCTGGGGTGGTCTCCAGCTTTCTGGTCATTTTCTGATCACTGAGCTGTTTCTTGAACTTTTAGCTTTCTCATGTACAGAATGGAACCATGTATGTACCAGAGCTCCTCCTCCTCCTCCTCCTCCTCCTCCTCCTCGTCATCATCACCATCATCATCATCAGGGCTGGTGGGAAGAATTCTTGAGAAAGGTCTTGTACCTGTCAGATAGTAGATGGTTCTTTCTTTTCAGACTCCCTGGAACTTTGAGGAAGTCCTTAGTTGGGTGCTTACTTGGGAAGGGAGCTGTATTTGGAGGGGGAATGTACTAAGTCCCAGACACTGCTGGCTTTGGTTTCTTAATTCTCCACAGTCCTAAATTCAGGCACCTTTGGTCCTCATTTTACAGACAAGGAAGTGGAGCAGGAAAGGGATGTGACCTGCCTGGGCCATATAGCTCTAAGCAGACCTGGACTGGCTTAGAGGAATGACACAGCACAGTGTTTAACTTTCACTGTGACTCAGGTGCCACACTGAGCCCTGCACACCCAGTATGTCACTCACCTGAGACTCTGGCTGCACAGAGGGAGGCAGAGACTCATAGGGATTAAGTCCCACCAGCAGTCAACAGAGAGGCTGGGATCCAGACCTGGCCTGTGTGGCTTTAAGCCTGTGTTCTCCATGCTCTGTGAACTGTGCAGTGAGTTGTCTGGCCTCGGATGCAGCCCCCTTGTGGCTGAGACTGAGTCCTGCATGCCTGGGTTTTGCACAGGGCCCAGCCTAAGCCTGGGGTCATGGAGGGCACTGTGGATCCCACAGGCCTCCAGCAGTGATGGAAGGGTCAAGGCATTAGCTGTAGGTCTGGTGATGATGCTGTTGACAGTTTCTCTTGACAACAAGTGACAAGTGTTACTTCACCGTCTCTGACACTTACCCAATGGTGCAGCCGGCATCTGCCTCGATGGTCCAGATGCAGTTGAGATTGTGTTCATAGGGAGCCGGGTACCCAGGCGACAGCACCTGCCCTGACACCTCTCCTCTCACTGTCCCTCCGCACTCGGCTGAAAGAAATTGCAAAAGAATGAGTTTCATGATGGCCCTGAGTGGCCCGAGCAGCCAACAGTCACAGAATGCCTCCTCTGTGCCTGGCCCATTCCAGGTGAGCACAGCATGCAAAAAGCTCCCTAGATGGGACTAGCACTCAGAACCTGAAACAAATTCTTACTTCTCAACAACAGAAGACACATAATGCAAACAGAAAATAGACAAAGGATTTGAGCAGACATGTGGCCACAGAAGATCTATGAAGGGCTGATGTAAATGGGAAAAGATGCTTAATACCATTTGCCATTAGGGAAGGGCCAACCAAAATCACAATGAGATCCCATACCCTTAGCCTGGCTACGACAGAAAGGCAAGTTTAGATAATAAAACAGCAAGTGTGGGTGAGGATGTGGAGAAACGAAAAACGTACAGTGATGCGCCACTTTGGAAAACACTTTGGTAGTTTCTCAAAATGCTAACCAGAAGTCGTCATATGATCTCAAGAAAAATGAAAGCACATGGTCATATAAGAACTTGAATGGAAATGTTCTTAGCAGCATTGTTCATGTAGTCAACAGGAAATAACCCAAATGTCCATTAACTGAAGAAAGGAGATACAAAATGTGGTACATCTACTCAACAGAGTATTAGAGTGTTAGTCAGTCGTAAAAAGGAATATAGTTTGCATACCTGCTACGATGTAGATTTTGAAACCATTACACTAAATGAAAGAAACCAGGCACACAAGGATATATATGATTCCAATTCTACAAAATATGGAGATTAAGCAAGATGGAAAGCACACTAGTATTTACGAAGGCCTGGAGGATCAAGCAGTGAGGAGTGACTGCCAATGGGTTATAAAGTTTCTTCTTTAAGGGGAAAACTGTTCAACAATTATATAGTGGTTATGGTTACATGACAACCGAATTGTGTACTTTAGACAGGTGAATAAATCTGTAAAGAAAACTGTCCACCAGGATAGAACTAGCTGCCTAGTCTGTGACCAAATTCGTCAGTGCTTCCATGGCAGGACAGAAAGGAGTGTGCACCTGACCATGGTGGCAACCTGTGCTAGCTGCCAGGAGCACGGGGGTAGGTCAGGAGAGGAAACACCTCTGCATGTGCTGCCTGCCCCAGCACACACACGTTCCTAACAAGTCTTGGTGCCCAGGAGGAAGAGGCCAGCTGGTATAGGACAGGGAGATCACAGGTGGGGATTCAATTGTACCTCAAAGAAAGAGCCCCGGTTGAGCGAGGTGGATGGTAGTGGGGGCAGCTGGGAAGGGCAGGAAGAAGAGGCTTTGCAGTTAGAGAGAGGAGGGGCACAGCAGCATAGGCTGGGGACAGTGCTGGGGATGGGCAGTGGCAGGGGACAAGGTTAGAAAGCTAGTTAAGCATCGGATGCTGCGGGACATCCGTCATGTACCAGGTTGCTGTGTGTTCTCTCTGCTGCAGAGAGAAAGAGCAGTGTTTACACTGCCTGTGAGAGAGTGGAGTCTTTTCACAAAGAGGAGGGAGGGGATTGTGGTAGCAGCTCAGAGGGGCATAAAGGGTAGAGCCTCAAGGCTGGGAGGCCAGGGGAGTGAGCCACACTCCCTTGCAGAGTATGTCACACCTAACTTCAAGCTGGTGGTTCCCCTGGCCTCGGCCTCTGAGACACTTTTCACATGTCTATTTTGTCTCCATTGCTAGTCGTGGCTTGGGCCCTCTCCCTCTCCCAGCTGGCACAGTTGTCCAGCAGGGTCAATCACAGGGACCTTCAAAGATGCAAATAACACATGTGTCTGTAGTGAAGTCCAAACCCTCTGGTGGGGCTTCCTTTGGCCTTGGCCTCTACCAAGGCATCCAGGTTCAGCCATGTCTGGGGAATTAATGCCACAAGCCTAGACAGCCTCTGCTTGGACTGACAATATGTTAACTGCTCTCTCTAGGACACTTTATGTTAATATCCCCCGCTCTCACCCAGGTAAAGCTGATGCTATATTCCATTGTGTCACCAACACAATGTGAATGGAGCAGGTCTATTAAAATATTGTCCATGTCCCGCATCAGACTGTAAGCTCTTTGGCTGCATGGGCTTTGCCTTAGACTGCACATCAAATGCATGAAATGCATGGTAGAGTGTTTGCCACACCACAGAAGTTTGATAAGTGTTTACTGAATGAATGGGTGCACAGTCCAGTGAGTAGAAGCCTGTTCTTTCCCAGGAAGAGGTCTGAAAGTACAGGAACCAAGGGGTGTGAGAAAATGAAGAGGTTTAAGGCTATAGTGTTGTCTGTTTAGAAAAGGGAGTGATGGGTTAATAAAGATGCTAGACGCTACAGGAAAAGATGGGGTCGAGGTACATGCGAAGCCTGACCGTCACCTGTTACTATGACCGACCCATCAAGCATCACTGACACTCTGAGGCTTCACGTGGGACCACCAAGGCAGGGCTGAGAGAGGGACCCACTTCCAGTAAGAGTGCTCAGGGGACCAGACTCTCTGTTCTAGCCTCCCATCGGGCCCGCCCTCCATGTTATTGTTGCAGCAAAGGGTGCCTAGTTGAAAGGCAATGGGGTAAATGGGCCCATAGCAGGGAGTGAGAGGATGAGTGACAGCTGGGAGGAGGGAGCTGTGATGGTGGAAGAGCATCACCATGACCACAGCCAGATGGAGCAGCACATCCTGCTTCCGGAGCATGGGTATTTGAAGGCAACAGCCCTAGGAGCCGTTCCACAGGGACCCAAGCTCTTCTTCCTCCCCCAAGGGAGCATGCTATTTAAGGACAGGCGGGTGGGTAGCAAGGGCTGAGTGGTGGTCCAGCCTGCAGCAGATTCACAAGCAGTGACCCCTTGAGATTCCACTCTTCCTGGGCCTGCCTCCTTCCCATCCTGGAGTCTCAGCTGCTGGGTTTGGGCTGCAGAGCCTCCTTATCAATGAAGGAAACATTTGGGTGCTTAAAGCTACAGCAGCCACTTCAATAGCCCCTGCTGAACTCTACCCTTTACACGACATGTGTAAACATATGCATGCAAGCACGCACAGCCTCACTTCCCTAAACACAATGGGGCCTAAGGGAGTCTCACTGGAGAAGGCTGCCAAGGCTCAAAGCTATAGTTTGCCTAGCCCTGCTTGAGGGTCCTCGAAGTCCAATGCAGCTGGCATGCTGGAGAGTCAAGGGATCTGAAAGAGAAGGGACACCTTTCTGCAACGAGCCACAGGCTCTCTTTTCCAGTTTGCTTGGTATGACTTGCTGGCCTTGTGGCACTACGCAGCTGGCTGTTTATATATGTGTCTCCTTGGCTCACCCAGGAGCTCTCTTCTCTGAATTCCAAATACCTAGTGTAGAGCCTTGTTCATGAAAGAAAGGGGTAAAATGAGGAATGGCTAGGGGTGGTGGTGTGTGCTTGTAATCTCAGTGCTGGGGAGGCAGATGCAGGAAGATCCCCGGGGATCACTGGCCAGACAGCTGAGTGGTATCAGTGAGCCCCAGGTCTCAGTGAGAGACCCTGTTTCAAGAAACAAGGTGGACAGATCTTAAGTAAAAATACCTGAGGTTGAACTCTGGTTTCAACATGCATGTACAAATACATGCACATCTAGCTATGCACACGTGTGCATCCTCACACATCAACACACACAGAGACAGACACAGACACAGACACACAAAGGCACACATGCACACACAGAGGGGACTAAAAGGAGAAAGGGAAGAGACACACCCATAGAATGATTCAACCTTAAGGAAAAGTAAGAGAGAAGACAATGAAAGTGATCTGTGGGCCACCACTCTGGTCTATCTGCTTTCTGGCTTAAAATTCTTGCTCTTGGGTCTTAGGTCTGGCGAGATGGCTTGGCAGTTAACAGTACTTGATCTTCTAGAGGATCTGAGTTCAGTTCCCAGAACCCACATCAGGCAGTTCACAACAGTCTGTAACTCCAGCTTCAAGGGACCTGACCTCTTCTGGTCTCCTCAGGTACCCCCCACACAGCATACACTCATATAGTGGGACACACATGCACATAAATAAAAATAAATCATTAGAAAAAACCCTCTTCTTCTTGACTCTCTGTTATACAATCTGAAGATCTGATTACAATGTGATGTGATGGACCAACCATGGCCATTAAAGCATCCTGCTGTGCTGTTCACCGTTGGCCCTGTATGTGCTCCAATGTCCACTTCCCCACCCCGTCCCTCCTGATGGTGAGGCATTATGCATCCTTCTAAGTCTTGATGAAGTGTCACATGCTATGCAGAACCTTCTGACATCTTCCCAGCACCCCGCAGAAGACTCTGGATGCTGCTCATCTTATTCACAATGACCTATTTATGTGTCTCTCCTTGTCTGAGTAAGGATCCCCCATGGGCATGGCCAGACTTCCTTTCTATATTTCTCTGCCTCCACGTACCCAGACTTATGCCCGCTCATTTCTAGCACATGGGGCTTGGTAGGCATTCATGTGTTCGCCCACTGGCCTTTTCAGGCTTGTGACACCCACTGGTGCTGCACAAGGACACTGTGGTGGTAAGGAAAGGGTGGAGGACAGGAAAGGTCTGGTTTGGGGGAAACAGGACAAGCAGGGCCATGGAATTCTGATCATCAGGGAAGAGAAGAGGGCACACAAACAGAATGCAAGAGTTCTGCCTCACACAGCATGTCTGGGATGCAAGCAGGAGGCCTCCAGAGGACATCTGCTGGAAGATTCAAGTTCATTCTCACGCTCTTCTTCAAGTGTGAGTACAAGTCCAGTATGTGGTCTTACTCTTTCTCCTGGCATCCCACCAGAAAAGGGAGCATGGACCCATTTTACCTTCAGGGAAACCGAAACCCAGAATGAACTGGAGACTCGTTTGAGTCTTGGTGTCTACAGGAAGACCTGGGACCCAGGTAAAAGTGCCACCTCTCTACGTACATGCACATCCAAGGCTGTGACTTAGCTCTGGTCCCACTTGCTAAGTGTGACAATGGCAAACTACTGTGTGGACTGCTTTGCTGCAGGGTGTAATCAGATGTGAATGTGAGGAGATGGGGAGGGCAGGCATCGAGCCATGCCGCTCACTAATTGGCAGATCTGATCCTAATTGATGACCCCAGACCCTGGATACCCTTTTTGAGACCAGGGCTAGATCTCAGCTTCAGGAGGACGGAGGAGTAACCCTGACTATCTAGAGCGACCTACCGACACAGGTGGGCAGTGGCCGGTCCCAGGTCCTACGCTCGCCGCTCAGACACAGCAGCTCCTCACTGCCCCGCAGGCTGTAGCCAGGGTCGCAGTTGAAGGTCACAGAACTCCCTGCAAAATGACCCCCATCGTGAACCTTGTAGCCAAACTGTGGGGTCCCTGGGTCCTCACATCGGATGAGCTCAAAACCTGGGAGAGAGAGAGAGAGAGAGAGAGAGAGAGAGAGAGAGAGAGAGA